GAGATGGCAGCTGACTACTTGACCAAGAAGCTCGGAAAACAGAAGTTCGAGTACTGCATGCTGCTGACTGGACAAAGCCACGTCACCAACAGCGACACTCCAGAAGCGAAGGGGAGTGTTGGGAACAAACAATCTTAAGCGCCTCTGTCGTGTCGAAACACCAAGGCACAAGCGAAGCAGAGCATATCGAGGCACCAGCGAGTCAACCCTCGGAGGTTGAAGTAACCGCTGGAGGTTACGCGAAAGTCAAAGGTCAGCGACCTTTGACTTGACAAATGCAGCGCGACAGCAAGGACACACAACTGACTCGACATTGAACAGTTGCCCGAGTCGCACTGTATCGAACCGCAACAGTAAAACAGTTTAATTATATCTCTTCGTATTCTTTGTACTCTTATATAAACCTTGTCAGAATCCCAACCACTAGACCATTGGGATAAAAGGGCTTGTTTCAGTAGCGGGTAAGTGCGCCCATAACCCCCCAGGCGAACGCGCCTGTAACCCTCTCCAGGATCAATCGGGCATCCACAGTGCAGATCTACTGACAAACCTTTGTACTTGCTTGTTTTAATCAACTTACTTTGCCCTCACATACCAGCGCAAGGTGGTTCAAGGACTTCATTTAAACGCTTCCGCTACTACATCACTCTACCCAGAGTTTAACCCTACCAAAGATCCTAAGGGGCACTCAGCCCAACATGGTATGAGAGCTGGTTAGGGTTAAAAATTATTTCTCCTTAACACCTAATACACCAAGAGACATGTCTACCAGAAAGGAGAGGAGCTCCTCCAACGGCTCTCTTGGTACTACTCCTACTCCACCTCCTGCCTCTCGCCTACAGACAGAGGAAGGCACAACAACGAGACCGGCAGCTGGGTCTACTGAAACACCCGCAAACCAAGGCGCGGGCTTCGATCCAAGCATGATGGAGAAGTTCTTCTCCTTCATGTCCTTCTACGAGCAGCATCAGCAAGGAGAACCTGCGCAATCAAACAACAGCAACAACAATAACAACGTGACGCCCATGAGTCTCGATGGCTCATCCTACGCACGCGGGAATCAACAACAGCAACCTACCTTCGCTCCGTACGAGCCCCAGCGCGGCTCCGTCAGCTTCATGCCACAACCACAACCTGCACTGGGACAAGAGAGAACGCTGGACGCACTACAAGTTCAGTCGCAGTTCGCGCACGTTCTAAAACTGCAAACGACAAAACCCTTCGACGGGAAGGATTTCTTTACCTGGTCGTTCGAATTCGAGCTGATGATGGAAGGAGCGCAAATCCTTGGCTTCTTCGACGGGTCCCTGCCATACCCAACAAACGGCACACAGTATGAGAAGCAGCAGTACACCTATCAATCGATGATGGCGTACACGATACTACTGAGGAACATCACTCCAACTCAACAACAAAACATACGGTCTTACCGAGGCTATGGCAACTCCGCGGAGCTCGCGTACAATCACTTGAAGAGCCTGTATCAAGCAACAGACAGCGTAAACCAAAGTCGGTTAATGGCGCAGCTGACAACAATCGAAATGAAACCAGGCGAGAAGGGAATGGCGTATATCAGTCGCTGCCGCGAGCTGCGCCGGTTCGGAAGACACGAGTCTTGCACTAGTCCTGCGTGGAGCAGCCCACTCTTCGAAAACTTGCGCTGGTTACTCTCGTTCCAACAAACGTTCGCGCGAGTCGGCTGGAGTTGGGAATTCTGCTTCAATCCACGCAGATCGAGTACCTGACAAGCATACGGGGAATTCTCCCCCCGCTGCTGCAATGGAGGTCCAGAACGACCAGACTGCAACGGCTTACGCTGATGCTGCTCCGGCCATCCCGACACCTGTTCAAGAGACGTTTAAAATTCCGGAGCTCTTAAAGAGCTGGACGCCGAAGGCTGTCAAGGGTTTCAGGACTGATTTCAAAATGCTCCTCAAGGCGAAGTCGAAGCTAAAGAAGATGAAAGCGCTCAACGCATAAGGTGTGATTTTACACAGCATCCGCACCAAGTCCGTGGAGTTTCAGACGAAGTATTCTTTGACGCGGGAAAAGTCAGCTGCATTGGCTGCATCTATTCATCAGAAGAACCAGATGCGCATTCAGCAAGATTTCATAAAGTCTAAGGAGTTGGAGGTAGAGGAAATCCTGTTAGCCTCCTCCTCACACCTTACCACTCTGGCGACCAAGCTCGAAGACTACATCAAGAGCCTCACAGCTGACCCAAGGGAGCGAGGAGCGATACCGGAAGACCAAGGGTTTCTGCATTGAGAAGGCCAAGTCTGAGATCTCTAACGCCAAGGATGACATCGTCATCCAAGAGTTGGAAAGGCAGAGGGTTAAGGAAGCTGAAGATTTGAAGAAGGCTGCAGCTGCCGAAGAGATGGAGCAGATGGAAACGGACCCGGCGATCGACGAGCTCGTTCAAAAGGCTACTAAGAAGTACGCGGAGACGATGCGCAGGGAGATAACAGCGAGCGTCGAAGCAAAGCTTACTGCGAAGTTCAAGAAGAGCTTGTCGATGGGATCGCAGGATCCCAAGTCGGCCCCCGCACCCTCGAAGCCCAAGGCGGACCCGTCCAAGGACCAGAAATCTTCTGGCGCCAAGGCAGATGTACCGAAGGCGACAAGGAAGCGCGGGAAAAGGAAAAAGAAAGCTAAATCTCAAGGCGGCGGCGGAGGGAAAGGCCAGAAATCTTCCTCAATGGCCCAAGTTCCAAAAAACGGTGGCGGCGGCCCAGGAAACGGGCCGCGCAAGAACTAACGACGCGGGATCTCGCACTCCACCAGTTCGGACGACTGACTCTACGGCAGGCGCAGTCATGCGTTCAGAACCGGGGAGTACATAACCTGAGTGCTAAGGTGTTGTCTCGCGACGAAACCAAAGCTCTCGGGATGGGTCTCAAATTCATACCTACGCCTGCTTGGAACTTTTCTATCGCTGCGGATCTGGATCAACTGCACCGACGGATCTCCCTCGATTTCTTCTTCAAGGATAAAGGATCGTCAACCTCATCCCGTTTCTGGGTGAGGAATCCAAACTGGCGACCCAATCGGGACGTGGTCCCGGAGCAGGTCTTCAAGGAGGCGCAAGCCGACCTATCTTTCCTGCTGAAGACGCATCGCCCTCTGCGCGGGCTTAACCTCTCCAAGAGTACGTGTGAGGCGATTCGTTCCCTGTCTCTAGATCGCTCAATCGTCATCAAACCTGCTGATAAGAACGTCGGCATCACCGTGATGGATCGAGGACACTACGTTGCGTTCGGCATGGAACATCTTAGCGACGAAGCTGTTTACCGACCGATCGACCGCGTCCCGACACCGACAAATCTGCAACAGCTGAGCGAGCTTAGATTGACGTGGGGACCTGCTTTTCCAGACAGTTTATGGAAATACCTTTTCGACATACCGTTAGGAGGATGGCATCCAGCTGTCGAAATATTTTGTCATGTTTTATAATTGCTTGTAGTTGTAGTTAGTGTAGTTATGTAAACTTTTGTTGGTGGTGCACCTTATTGTGTTTCTATGCTATATGTACCCCTGAACCTATAGTGAAACTCACCTTTTCACAATTTTCCTCTCAACTCACTCGACTCTCACCCTAGGGGAAAACCCGCTCGATACTAAGTTAGGGCCTAGGCTACTAAGCCTAGGCCCCACGTTTCTACTCTCTATTACCTACTATCTTGACATGTTATCGGAGCTGTTTTCGTCCTGGCCTGTGGGCCCGCGTTACTCTTCCGCTGCTGAGATTTTCCGGTCGCGCGCCTAGGGCGCGTGACGATTTTAGTTTTACCTTGTCCCGCCCACGGGCGTGTGACTCCTATCCTGCCCGTCGCGCGCCCCGTGGCACGCGACGGTGCCCTTTATCTGCCCATCGTACGCCCCGAGGCACACGATGGTGCCCTGCTCGTCGTGCGCCCCGAGGCACACGATCGGGCCCTTTTATCCTACCCGTCGTGCGCCCCGTGGCACTGGCCCGCGACGGGCCTCTCCGCCCCTGCACTCCCTGCTGCCGTCCCTGACCCATCTGCACCGACGCCTCTTCGCCGCTCTGCGGCTTTCTTCCTTCCCACCCCCCCCTTTCTCTTGTCTCCCTGCAGCCGTGGGGAGGAGGGTATGGGGGTGGAGGGTGTTGGAGCGTGGGGTCAACTCTCTCCCTTTCCCTCCTCCTTCTTTCAGTCCCACCGCTGCAGCTGCCGCTGGGGGAGGAGGGTGTGAGGATGTGGGTGAGGGGGGGGGGTGGTACCGGGGTGGCGGGGGTGAGGCAACAAGCAGCCGTCCCTCCACCTTTCCTCTTTCCCCCCTTTCTCTGCTGCTTCTGCAGCAGTGTTGGGGAGGGGAAGGAGGAGGGTGAGGAGATGGTAGGGGTACCTGCTGTTGCTGTAACTACACACCTACCTACAAGCATTATGGGGGCGTGTCGAAATATTTTGTCATGTTTTATAATTGCTTGTAGTTGTAGTTAGTGTAGTTATGTAAACTTTTGTTGGTGGTGCACCTTATTGTGTTTCTATGCTATATGTACCCCTGAACCTATAGTGAAACTCACCTTTTCACAATTTTCCTCTCAACTCACTCGACTCTCACCCTAGGGGAAAACCCGCTCGATACTAAGTTAGGGCCTAGGCTACTAAGCCTAGGCCCCACGTTTCTACTCTCTATTACCTACTATCTTGACACCAGCGGCATTCTATATCCTACCGAAACTCCATAAGAAAGTGCCTGTGGGGCGACCGATCGCTGCTTCACACTCATGGGTTACTACGAATGCGAGTAGATGGCTGGATTCGCAACTAAGACCGCTCGTACTTAAATGCGCCACCTACCTACGCGACTCCCTTTCACTGCTAGCGAAGTTAGAAGTGACGGCTTTTCCGCCTAACATCCTTCTAGCTACGTACGACATAACCTTGCTTTATCCCAGCATTTCCATAGAGCGAGGCCTCGATGCGGTTAGCAGCTTCATAACAATGGAACAGACACAGCTTACTGCTCCACTCATGGCCCTTCTGGGTTGGGTCATGAGAAACTCCTTCGTGGAGTTTGACGGCCGGATATATCAACAGGTGCGAGGAACTGCGATGGGAACTCCTGTCGCCGTGTGTTTCGCCATACTCTTCATGAGTCGTCTTGATGAGCTGCTACGGGAAAGGTGGACTGGGGTGTTACCGATTTACCACATCCGTTACATAGACGACGGCCTCATCATTTGGCCGAGGTCGCAAGTGGAATTAGAGGAGTATGTGCGCACTTTCAACGGCTTGGATCCCAACATCCGGATCACGTGGAACATCTCAGAACATTCTGTTGACTTTCTGGACGTGGTCCTCTCCAAAGGGCCTCGATTCACAGAGCGTGGTATCCTAGACTTTGGGACATTTCAAAGGCCCATGAATAGGTACCTCTACCTTCCCTTTTCCTCTTTCCACCCCCGACACTGTAAGGAAGGTTTCATAAGGGCTGAACTGCAGCGTTACTTGCTACGCTCGACCTCTCGCTCGACTTTCCTCACTACGAAACGCGCCTTCTTCCGGCGACTTCGAGATCGGGGTTACCCACCTGCTTTCCTGCGACCGATCTTCAGCGGCGTCCTCTTCACACAACGTGCGACACTTCTCACCAGCACTCTCGCGAACCAGCTTCAATGACAGAACTCTATCCCCTCTACACGCGGACCCCTAGCTCTGAAGACGACCTACACACCTGTGTCGGCTCGCCTCGGGCTAGGGGTAGTTTTGAGATGTCTCAAAAGTCGTCTACTTACACGCGGTTTTTATATTGATAGAGTTTTTGTTGCTTGGAAGGCTGGGTGTAGCTTGCAGAGTTACTCGTTCGCGCGAGGCTCCCGAAGTTACAGCTGGCAAGGGGTGCAGTTTCAACGACACGCCCCGAGGAATGAAGACTTGGACCGCTTGGACTTCTCTAGGTGGACCAGGATTGGCTGACATTTCCAGCCACGGTTGCTCCAGCCTTGATTTTTGGTTTCTGAAACGTAGTGTTTGCCTAAATGTTTCGTTTGCACTCTCTTCTTCATTTCCGCTAGCACTGATGAAGGTTTGACGTGGGGCCTGTCCCAGTCAGCCGAAACATGTTTGCGTTTTAATCTCTTTAGTGGAATCGAGAGTTCGGATTTCTTGATTTTCTTGGCACTTAGTAGGGTACAACATACAGATTAGTACTACTGTCTTTCTTTTGCTAAAAGCGACTTCCCGACTGCAGCTCATCCAGTCCACATGGCTGACAAGGTCACCTGGGTGTGGGATGACGACCTCCCACACTCCCTCAAGGGTACGCCTTTTCTTCTTTGTAGCTTTACCACCTTCCTTGATGCCACTAGCTCCTGTGCACAACCATGCTTTTACTACCCTTGAAAGGAAACGAGTGCCGACGCCATTCCTTTGCGTAGAATCTTGATTAAAGCTATCTTGCTCCCACTCTACTCCACAGTACTGCTTTTCCCTTATTTGCATGCATTCCTTATTCCCCAATGCTCTCTCGCTGCACTGCAACCACCAACAGTGGCGGGGATGGGGGAGGTGGACGACCCGCTGTTCCTTGGCTTCGGAGGGCACCGATTGGTCGTGTCACGCAAGCTGGCATGCACTCCCCTGGACGTGGGCAACGGGGACGCCTTTGATGAGCCATTGCCATGCGTGCTCAGTGAGTGGTGGGGGGGTGGTGCACTGCACACTCTCTCCTCGTACAACTAACCACGGATGAACTAAGCAAAGGAAAAAACATTGTTCCAGCACCTTTTATTTGGCCCTGATAGGCACGCGATTGACGGTCAGACAGCCCTTTGTCCAGTCCTGGAGCGTCGCGTCCAGTCGGTCTTATCTGTCCGCATGCACACATGGCTATCCTGTCACATGCACCATCTCACCCTGCTTCCACATCCTCACACCCATCCTCCTCCCACTGACCCCCACTACTGGTCCTCCCTTCCACCAGAAATTGACGACGAGCCCCCCGGCTCGTTCGCCTACAGCAAGGTGTTTGAGGAGCCAATCACGATCCACTACGAGGACGGCACGCTCTCTGTCGACGACTCCTCTTCCTCCTCCTCGCCTGCCACCTCTGCTGCGTCGCTTCTCACTGTGTTGCCTGCATGAGCAGGAGCTGAGGTTGCAGGTAAGCTTTCTGCATGAAAACATATGCCATATTGAATGTCATGTTGCATGCCAATACCATGTTGCGTGCTATGCTTTGTGCCACACTGCATGCCACTCTGTTTTATTACTTCATTTCATGCTTGCTCCCCATCCCGTTTATCATTAATCTCTTTCACCCTCACCATTCCCTCTTGCTCATCCCTCCCGTGCATGCGCTACATGCATAGCAGGTGTTGTGAATGCCACTGACAGCAGCACCCTTTCGAGCACTGCACACCTCACTGCCACCAACACCATCATGCCCTCCTCCTCCTCCTCCGCCTCCGTTGCCGCAGCAACCTACGAGTGCTCGCCAGGGTGCCGGCTGCAGCGGCTGGCAAATGGGGTGTGCGATGCGGCGTGCAACACGCCCGCGTGCGCCTTTGACGGTGGCGACTGCGCGTGTGTCGACCCGCTCTTCGTCCCCGGCATCTGCGCCTGCCCGCCCGGCCACACCCGTCGCGACAACGGCTGTAAGTCATCCCTCTTCTCCCATCCACTCGCCCCTCTCGCCCCCTGCCTTGCTCCGCCATACCCTTTCTCCCGTTATTGATTTCACTTTGACTCGCTTTCTGACTTGCATTTTCTCCCAGTGTCTCTGTGACCTCCCGTCTCTGCTGATCTCTCTTTCTCATCTCCCTCTCCTTTCTCCTCATCTCCTTCCTCCTCTCTGTACCTCACCTTCCTCCTCCCCCTCTCCTCCAGCCTGCTGTCTATCGACGGCGGTAGGAGCCAATCTCAACTTCCCCTTCTCACTGCAGCGCTACGGCCCCAACTACATAGAGAGCAACTTCGCCTTCGCGGCTGAGAGGGGCTTTGCTGCCAACCGCTTTGTGTCCCACCGCAACCGGTACGTCCTTGTGCCTCCCTGCCATGCATCCCCTGTTCCACACACAGCATTCATCTGGCGTGCACCTCTCAATCACGATAGTACATTGTCTTGTACCACTCAGAAAGGCACCATTGTCAACCATGTTGTCTCGCATTGCAACCAGAAGGCGCCATGCTGCACCGTACAGTGTTCTATTATTCCGTCAGCTTCCGTTCACCCATCAGAGCATCCGCTCTGCAAACCACCACAATCTCTCTTCCATATCCCCCTTCCTCCTGTCTCTCTACTTTTTCCATGACAACCTGTCGATCGGCCTGGTGCTGCAGTAGGACCGGTGGGGCACACAGCAGTGCAACAGATCGGGGTGAGTGGCACTTAGGAACGGGTTGAGTGGTGGGGGGTGTGACGTGCCAGGCTTTCATGATGCTTGGCTGATCTCATCGCTATGAGCGCAGCCACCTTTCTCTTCAAATCCTCCCTTCCCACCAACTCTGCCTCCTCACTCCCCTCCACCCATGCTGCTGCACCTGGCGGGGTGGTGCACGTCCACAAAGCCATTTGGAGTGAGCCCGCACTTCCTGCCCACATCGGCCATCTACGACAGCGCTGCCAGCGCTTACATGACCCGGCTCGACAACAACACCCTCAACCCGCAGAACCTTCCCTACGGATTCATCTACCCCGTGGTCAGTCACCCATGGCCCCTTCGTATATTTCTGCTCCGTATAATCTGCCTCTGCAAAGCATTGCCATGTGCGAAGCGACAGCTGTAACCAGTGTTTTGATGGTGGAGCTCAGATAATGAGCTAAAATGGATAAGAAAATGGATTGGATTGGGGTGGGTGCAACCTCATATGGTGGGCTGTGTTACTGTGTAGCTCTAAGCCATGTTTACGAGCATAAAACCATGAATTCATCAAATCTGTGTAATACCTGGAAGGTCTTGATGCCAATCTCTTTGATCAAACCTGTTAATGCTGAATTTCTCTGTGCACCCTTTTGTCTACCGGACTCCCTCACGGCCTACCCTCTGGTGTTTGATATAAATCTCGACTACGAGGCGGCCATGCGTCGCCTGCACTACCTGGTGGATGGAAGCTATATCGACAATGGCACGCGCACTGTCGACGTCAGCTTCATAACTTTCAATGGCACTTGCCTTTGTTGTTGTTTTATACCAGTAAATATGAATGTCTGGTGTGAAAGAAATGTGAGTCGTGCCGAAGGCATGTATGTTTTCTCTCCTTTAGCAGCCTGTAACTGATTTGGCCCGTCCCCTTCTCTCTTTGTCTCATCCGTCCACCACTTTCATCTCTGTTGGCAGGCGAGACGCTCACTTTTGTGCTCACAACTGTGAGTTGCAAGGTGACTACGGGCGGCAGCATGTCGGTAACGATCAAGTCCCAGCCGGCAGCCATGGCGATGTACGATGCATCGGCAGACAACATCGCACGGCTGGTGCTGGAGATGGTGTATCTGGTGGGGCTGCTCTGGAATGTGTGTGGCGAGCTGCACGAGATGGCCGATCGCGCTGCGATCCACGGCTCTGTGCTCAGCTATTTTGGTCTCGTGTGGAATCGGGTCGACATGCTCTCTCTCACACTGTAAGTGACCGCAGTTGTTATCTAGTAAGAAACCAGCTAAGCTGCGGCAATAGTAGCCATTGTCGTGCAATGCATGCGGCTCCGATCACACGTCCATCTGTCCACTCCAGATGCCCGAATTCCCCGCACTTTCCTGCACATGCGCACGTGTGTGTGTCCGTGTGGGCAGGGTGGTGCTGTGGCGGCACGTGGCAGCATTTGACATGCAGCCACGCTACGACATCTACTACACGCTGCTCGAGATGCCACGCTATTGGGCCGTGCCCAACCCGCCCACGGGCTTCATCAGCGCCACTCGGACCTTCGCTAATCTGCGCAACATCATCATCCTCGATGGCATCTACTTTTCCCTCCAAGGCATCAAGTGAGTGAGCCGCCTACGCGTGCGTGCGTGTGTCGACTCTCTTTTCTATCAGTAAAAAACAACTTAACCTTTTGGCTTGGCTCGTTTTCTCATGTCTAGCTGTTGATCACCCATTGATCATCCATCCCGAATCAACCACACTCTTTCTTTTGCCCCGCCTAATTCCCTTCCCTGCTCCCTGTTCCTCCCCTGTCTCTTCTTCATGATGATTCGCCTACTCAAGGTGATGGACTTCCAGCCGTACCTTGGAGTCATCACGCGCTCCCTCGCCCTTGCCACGCCCTCCTTGATGCACTTCTTCCTGCTCTCCTTTACGGTCTTCTTCTGCTTCAGCATGTACGCCTACCTCGTCTTCAGAGGAGCACTTAAGATGGTATGTGTGGGGCTCATTTCTTACCTTTTTTTTTAAGAATGTGTTGCGTCACCCTTTTTTTTCTTTTGCTTGAGCACAACGTTGTGTTTGAGTTTACCAAGTTTGGCAAACCTGCGCGTGCGCGCGTGCGTGCGTGCGTGCGTGGGTGGGCGAGTGTGTGTGTGGGCGTGTGTGGGCGTGTGTGGGCGTGTGTGGGCGTGTGTGGGCGTGTGTGGGCGTGTGTGGGCGTGTGTGGGCGTGTGTGGGCGTGTGTGGGCGTGTGTGGGCGTGTGTGGGCGTGTGTGGGCGTGTGTGGGCGTGTGTGGGCGTGTGTGGGCGTGTGTGGGCGTGTGTGAGCGTGTGTGGGCGTGTGTGGGCGTGTGTGGGCGTGTGTGTGCGTGTGTGTGCGTGTGTGTGCGTGTGTGTGCGTGTGTGTGCGTGTGTGTGCGTGTGTGTGCGTGTGTGTGCGTGTGTGTGCGTGTGTGTGCGTGTGTGTGCGTGTGTGTGCGTGTGTGTGCGTGTGTGTGCGTGTGTGTGCGTGTGTGTGCGTGTGTGTGCGTGTGTGTGCGTGTGTGTGCGTGTGGGTGCGTGTGCGTGCGTGTGTGTGTGTGTGCGTGCGTGCGTGTGTGTGTGTGTGCGTGCGTGCGTGCGTGCGTGCGTGCGTGTGTGCGTGCGTGCGTGCGTGCGTGCGTGTGTGTGTGTGTGTGTGTGTGTGTGTGGGTGTGTGTGCGTGCGTGCGTGCGTGCGTGTGTGTGTGCGTGCGTGCGTGCGTGCGTGCGTGCGTGCGTGCGTGCGTGCGTGCGTGTGTGTGTGTGTGTGTGTGTGTGTGTGTGTGTGTGTGTGGGTATGCGTGCGTGCGTGCGTGCGTGCGTGCGTGCGTGCGTGCGTGCGTGCGTGCGTGCGTGCGTGCGTGCGTGCGTGCGTGCGTGCGTGCGTGCGTGCGTGCGTGCGTGCGTGCGTGCGTGCGTGCGTGCGTGCGTGTGTGTGTGTGTGTGTGTGTGTGTGTATGTGTGTGTGTTACTATTTATTTATTATTATTCGTTTACTTATTTTTATTATAATTACTTATTATTCTTATTGTTATTATTATTGTGAGAATGAGGAATGAAATGACTAGGTGAAATGTTGGTAAAAGTAGGAAACCTAGAAATGTTGTACCATATAGTATCTGCCCCACTATAGCCTAGATAGACCATAGCATATAAACTTGACACACCCCCATAGGCAATGTGGGGGAGAACAAGAGGTCACAAGACCAGTCAAGCAAAGCACAGCAAGCTCAGGGTGGATCACAACGTCACCACACATTCCGAGCACAAGTTCAAGGCCACAAGGCCAGTTCAGGTATAGATAGATCACAGTACAAGCAAGGTCAAGAAATGAGCAAGTGAGGCCAAGTAGGCACAAGACCTAGCATCGTACAAAAACGCTGATGATCACAAGGCTGAAGTGCCTTGGTAAAGATATCAGCAGTGTTGGCCATAGAGGCTACGTAAGCAAGGCACAGCTGACCACGCTGCTGCAGCTCACGAGCAAGGAAGTAGTGTGACCACTACTATTACTATTACTATTATTATTATTAAGTATTAAGTATTATCATCGTCATCATCATTAAGAATTTCTACCCCCTTCCCCCGCCTCCCCCTTCCGCCCTATGCAGTTCTCCACGGTCCTGGAGTCTATGTTCTCGTGCTTCCTACTGCTTCTAAATGACAACGGCTCCGCCTACTTTTTCCAACGCATGGAATCATGGGACCTCATAGCCACGATGCTCTTCTTCTTCATGTTCATCGTCTTCATGGTCTTCATCCTCCTCAACTTCCTCATCGCCATCATCGTCGACGCCTTCATGAGCGTCAAGGACAGCAAGCTTGTTGCCACCTCTATAGCTGCTGACCTTGCTCACATCTTCAAGTACAAGTGGAACTACTGGCGCGGCCGCTACCTGCCGTATCCGCTCATTCTCGACCGCCTTGTAGAGTTGGGCGCTAAGGACACTCGAGTTGACGAGGTGAGAGCTGGGAACCAACCTCACACGCTTGGGCAAGATCAGGGGGCGAAAAACTGGTCAATTATGACCTTTCACTGAATGGCCCATCCGCAATTCATGTAGTACTAGTGTGCTTGTCCACCGGTTTGGACACCGGGTAGGCTGGACGCTTGTGCGGCGGACTTTTACACTATGTATGTCTGGTGGTGGAGCCCTCACACACAAACTTCTGTGGCTGGTCAATCCAACAATAACTGGCACAATACGTTCTTGACCTCTTGACCGTTCTTGACTGACCTCAATCCAGCAATCCCTCTTGCAGTCGGATCGGCGGATGCGTCGCGTGCAGTCAATGAAGCGGCAAACGCGGGCCATCTTCTCCTGCAGCTGTGGCGGCGGATGCAAGCCCTCGCACCTCGATTGCGCCGAGAACCACCCCACCTTCCCGTCCGCCAGCAAGACTGGCGAGCGGCTGCAGCACGTGCTGACAGTGAGGGAGAAGCGCATCGACGTCATCTCACTCTCCATGATCCTGCAGCGGCGGCAGGACAGGGAGGTGCGTTCTTGCTGGCGTGGTTGACGGCATGAGTACTTGGGCGTGCCATGTGTCGTGGCATGCAATGCGGTTCTGCTATGGCATATGTTGTACGTTGTGCCAAGCCATGTGGGTGTGCCAGGGTATATGTTTCGCCATGTGTTAGGCCATGCGCTGTGGCAAGCCATGTATTGTGACATGCGGGCCTAGTAAATGTGATGTGCCGACTTCTATGCATGACATTCTCACAATCAATCTGCCCCGCCCGCACGTCTCTCTCTCCACCACTCTCACCGCGTTTCACTATCTTTCCTCAGCGAGTGGGGCCGTACAAGGCTGAGTCACCGTACAAGTGTTTTCCAAGGGCAGCCCCAAGAGAGTGTGCGGACGACGAGCAGTTGGATCAGCTGTCGCAGGCGGTGGTGCTGCAGTGCGGCGAGGTGGTGAAGCAGGCCGCTCTGCCCGTCAAGAAGAGTGCAAAGAAGCTCAGCCTCGCTCACCTCAAGGTGCGGAAGGAAAAGGGTGTGGGGGTGTGTTGCGAATATGTGCGAGGGAGAGTGCTAACACGGTCGGGGTTGCAGTGATTGGCCGAGGAATGAAAAGCGCCCGCAATCAACCGTCCAGGCTTCCTATCCCAGCCATGCGTTCTTACGACTCCTTCCCAACATCCCTTCATCCTCCCCCACCCCAACACCCTCCACCCTGTGCCTGTGAGAGCAGGAGGATCTGGCGCGCAGCGAGGCAAAGGTGAAGGAGCTGAGTGCCATGATGACGGACATGCACGCCCTCATGCTCGACCTCCTCGCCCGCACGCCCCCGCTAGGCAACACTGCCCACTCTCCGGGTACCCCTGGGGGGCTGCCAGCATTGTCAAACATGCCGCGTGCCTACACGGAGCCCCCGTGGTGTCTCATGTCACTCACAGACTCCCCGCCGCCACTGGAGCAAGCAGGCAATACGAGAGAGGTGCCTAGGAGGTTCAGTGAGAGTGGGGGCGGTGGGGGCCCAGATGAGGGAGAGAAAAGAGCGGGGGCGACAAGAGATGGTTGGAGCCCTGCAGGAGGGAGCTCGAGCAGAACCCCGGTGCAGGTGTCACGAAGGCTCAGCGAGAGTGGGACCGGTGGGGAGGCATTTAGGGGAGAGAAAAGGGTGGGGGGTGCTAGAGATAGTCCGAGCAGTGCAGGAGGGAGCTCGAGCAGAACCCCGGTGCAGGCGTCACGAGTGTTGGGCAGGCGGGTGTCGTGGCAAGATGGCAGAGGGGCGGCGCGTGGGGAAAGGACAGAAGGGTGGCAGAAGCAGCCCTCGGTGCGAGTAAAGGGTTGTGTGTATTGCACGAAATTGACTTTGGCTTGGACCTGCACGTAACCATTACTAACAGTCTCGCATTGTAACAGCTCACTATACTATAGGGTACAAACAGTTTTGTGTTGTAGCAGTGTATGGTACCACTATAGTTTGTGTTGTGTGGTTTCGTGGTGCTGCGCTAAAAAAAAAAAAAAAAAAACAGCACCAATAGCTTTTGATTCATTTTCTGTACAGCTTCCCATAAATGCAATTCTTGCAATGGGAGTGTGGTGTACATGGTCTGGAGCTGTAAGGGAGTATAAACATCTGGCATCTTCAGATGCACAAGATGCCAGCAGGCCTGAGTCAGTCTACTGTCTGTCCATCATGCCAGTTGGCGCAACTGGTGACAAAGGACAGCAACAGGGTCCAGTCAGTTCCTTGGGTGGACCATCACCCTGCCTCCACAGGTGCTCCTTTGCTACTCTTACAGGATGCAGCCAGCAGAGCCCAGACCAACCTGCAGTGGGGAGATGTGCGGTGCAGCGGACACTGCATCAGTGCATCCCCAATATACGTACGAAGGCTGAGAAAGGGCCTTATGGGGATCAGAGGAAAACGGTCAAACATCAGAGTTGATCTCACGGTTTCAGAAACGTTCAAGGGTCCCTTGGTTTTCCGATCAACGGCTGTTGACATGACTCGTCTGTGCCCACACCACCCTCACCGCCCTCCACTGCCTCATCTTGGAACACCACCCGTCTCCCCGGCCCTCGCTTCGACGATGGGGATCTGCTGCTCCCTACCACTCTCCCATTCCCACTTGCTCCTTCCCCCACGCCCATCCCACCCGCCTCTTCCCCCAGCCCCTCGCCCTCCTCTTCTAATTGCCGCACTTTCAGACACGGCTGCACCAGGGGTTGCTGCACCAGGGGTTGCTGCACCAGGGGTTGCTGCACCAGCGGTTGCTGCACCAGCGGTAGCTGCACCAGCGGTAGCTGCACCAGCGGTAGCTGCCCGGGCAGGGGTGATAACGAGCGGGGAATGAGAGGGCCCTGGGCGCGTAAGGAGGGTAAGGCGCGGTCGAGTAGGGCCATCATGGCACGCATGTCGCTCTGCATGTCCGCCATCATGCCCCTCAGCTCCTCCACCCCTGCCTGGCACCGCACCACCTCCTCCTGCTCACCACATGAATGACACGTGGGAGGGAGGGGAGGCATAGGATACGGATGTTTTGTGACTGATCATAACAGCAGTGCAGCAAAAACAATTAGCTCCAGCATTTCCCCCTCCCTCCGTTAAATTACACCTTCCCACCTGTATCCAATCCAAACATGCCCCTCCTCCCCCCCCACACACGCACCTGCACGTGGTTGAGGCTGAGTTTCTGCACGGGCTTCTTGACGGGCAGGGCGGCCTGCTTCACCACCTCGCCGCACTGCAGCACCACCGCCTGCGACAGCTGCTCCAGCCGCTCCTCGTCAAGAGCCCAGGTGGCAGGCCCGCACATTGATCCGTTCTCACACCGGGGCGAGGAGAAACGCGGTGCCGCCTTGGATGAGGAAGATTGGCGGGCCCTCCTTGCCTGAGGACCAGTGAGGGAGGGAAAGGGGCGGCAGGAGGAGGAGAAAGGATGGGAATGGAAAGGTGGGAATGGAGAGGTGAGAATGGAGAGGGTAGAGGGTATGGTGGATAGGAAGGTTGACTGTTGACTGTGGTTAAAAGTCGGGCTAAGAAAATGCGGAGTGATGCAGGGAGAAATACTGGCCAAACGTGAATAAGGGCCAATAAAGGGAGAGAGTAACCACTTGTCATGGCACTACCTGAATCAGTTGCCACAAGCATGATGGGACGAGCATGCAAAAAGGCATGAAAATGCATGGAAACGCATGGAAACGCATGGAAACGCATTGAAACGCATGGAAACGCATGGGAAGGCATGAACCCACATGGAAAGGCATGGAAACAGGCATGGAAACAAGCATGATAGCAAGGACGCACCCTTTCGTCGTGGCGGCGCTGCAGGATCATGGCGAGCGAGATGGCGTCGATGCGCTTCTCCCTCACTGTCAGCACGTGCTGCTTCCGCACCCGGGACTCGCTGACGGCGGAGGGGAAGGCGGGCTGGTTGTCTGACCTGGCAAAGTGCGCCGCCTTGTGGGCGCTGCCTCGCGCGCCGGAGAGCATTAAGCCTACCCGCCATTGGATGGACTTGAAGCGGCGCATCCGAGGGTTGTCCTGAAGAGAAAGGCGCGTGGGGAATGGCGTGTGTGTGGGAGGGCAATTAGGGGTCGGTGGCAACAGTGGCCATTGCAGCATGACCAAGGCGTCACCTTAACCTGCGTGAGAAGGGAGCAATCACATCATGCCTGCATGGCTGGAACAAGCATCTTAACAACCACTTGAGAAACAACCATAACAATCAAACACCTTCAACTGACTGACCTCATGAGACACCCACAGAACCCTGCATCAAACAACTTGCTACGCACTCACCTCTTTAATGCGGGTGTCCTTGGCCCCCAGATCCATAAGGCGGTCGAGAATGACTTGGTACGGCAAGTACCGGCCGCGCCAGCAATTCCATTTGTACTTGAATATGTGAGCGAGGTCCGCGGCTATGGAGGTAGCAACCACGTCGCTGTCCTTGACGCTCATAAAGGCATCAACGATGATGGCGATGAGGAAGTTGAGGAGGATGAAGACCATGAAGACGATGAACATGAAGAAGAAGAGCATCGCTGCTATCAGGTCCCACGATTCCAGGCGCTGCAGGAAGTAGGCCGACCCATTGTCGTTGATGAGTAGTAGGAAGAGGGAGAACATGGAGTTGAGTACTGTGGAGAACTGCACAGGGTGGGGCGGGGAGGCGGGACGAGAGAAGGGGTGTTTGTGGGGCAATGGATGGAGAAGCCACACAAGGTTCGGAAACAGGAGGGGCAGCATGGTGAGTATGGAAAACAGAATTGGTTGGAACAAAAATATTAGTGTAGATTGCACAAGTACATGAAAGATGTGATATTTGTTTGATTCTGTCTTGTTTCGCTTTGTTCAGTTTTCTTATATATATACATGTATTATATCTGTATATGTATATGTATATGTATATGTATATGTATATGTATATGTATATGTATATGTATATGTATATGTATATGTATATGTATATGTATATGTATATGTATATGTATATGTATATGTATATGTATATGTATATGTATATGTATATGTATATGTATATGTATATGTATATGTATATGTATATGTATATGTATATGTATATGTATATGTATATGTATATGTATATGTATATGTATATGTATATGTATATGTATATGTATATGTATATGTATATGTATATGTATATGTATATGTATATATATATATGTATATGTATATGTATATGTATATGTATATGTATATGTATACGTATATGTATATGCATATGTATATGTTTATGTTTATATACACATATATATATGTATGTATGCATATATGTTTATATATGTGTGTATATATATCAAGTAAAAGGTGATGGAAACTAGTTTCCGCTTACGGCCTTATTCATCTCACGGCGCATAATTGGTGCTCACTTCATCTTGATTTAGACAGCATAAGTAAATGAGCCCCACACCCACACATACCAGCTCCATTGCGCCTCCGAAGACGAGGTAGCCATACATGCTGAAGCAGAAGAAGACCGTAAAGGAGAGCAGGAAGAAGTGCAGCAGGGAGGGCGTGGCGAGGCTGAGGGAGCGAGTGATAACCCCAAGGTAAGGCTGGAAATCCATCACCTTGAGTAGGCGAATCATCATGAAGAAAACACTGGGGGAATCAGGGGGTGGGGAGGAGGGAGAAGGGAAGGATGCTGAATGTAGGCTGTCACCAAACTGAGCGAAACATGTGTGACACGAATTGTCGCACCTTGGACTGGCCTGTGCTCAGGCTTCGGCCCAACCAGTTCAGGTTCGACTTTTTCTCAATCTGGGAAGCCGTAGAGACAGTGAAAATGGCTCACTTCTTGTTTTGAAAAGCAAGGTAGCGCACTTGAAACCCTGCAGGGCAAGGCAGCTCACTTGATGCCTTGGAGGGCGAAGTAGACGGCACGGAGGTTGATGATGTTGCGCAGATCAGCAAAAGCTTGAATGGCGCTGATGAAGCCCGTGGGCGGGTTGGGCACGGCCCAGTAGCGCGGCGTCTCGAACAGCGAGTAGTAGATGTTGTACCGTGGCTGCATGTCAAACGTGCTCACGTACCGCCACAGCACCACCCTGACCACACCAATGCACACGCACAAACGCACAAGTGGAGGATTGGGGAGCGAGGCGGAGGAGCAGGGGAACATGGCCAGATGAGGTCATTCTTTAGGTGCCACAAGAAATTAGGCTGGATGACGAGCGAGTGAGACAGAAAATAGCTCTTGCCTCACCAGAGGGCAAGGGTTTTTGAAAATTCTCAAAAACTCGCTCACCAGAGAACAACGGCGATAGCTTGCAGCGAGAGAGAGAGCATGTCGATCCAGTTCCATGCTTGCTCAAAATAGCTGAGCACAGAGCCATGGGTGGCAGCGCGGTCGGCCATCTCCTGCAGCTCGCCACACACATTCCAGAGCAGCCCCACCAGATACACCACCTCCAGCACCAGCCGTGCGATGTTGTCCGCTGATGCATCGTACATCGCCATGGCTGCTGGCTGCGACTTGAAGCTCACTGCCATGCTGCCGCCCCCGTTCACCGTGCACCTAACAGTTGTGAGCACGAATGTGAGTGTCTCGCCTGCCAACATTGGGGTGGGGGGGGGTCAATGAGGCGAGTGAGAGGCGTGCATTGAGAGGCGTGCATTGAGAGTGGTTCAGTGAGAGTGGTGCAGTGAGAGGCGTGCATTGAGAGTGGTGCAGTGAGAGGCGTGCATTGAGAGTGGTGCAGTGAGAGGCGTGCATTGAGAGTGGTGCAGTGAGAGGCGTGCATTGAGAGGCACGCATTGAGAGGCGTGCGGTGTACATTGAACGTTGCAAGAAACATATGGATGTGTTGAGTAGATGCATGTGTTTACGGGTCGGAGTTACCACAAGGTGATTAGATACCATTGAAGGTTATAAAGTTGACTTCAACGCTGCGCGTGCCATTGTCAATGTAGCTGCCATCCACCAAGTAGGTTAGTCGCCTTGTGGCCGCCTCGTTATCAAGATTAATGCCAAACACCAAAGGGTATGTCGTGAGAGACGCCTGCTGGAAAAGGTACAGGTGAACACTATTTTCGCCAAGACATCATTGGGTAATCAACGCAGTTACTCTCAATACGAAACATATTGGTATGTAACGCATTTACTCTTAGTACCATCCATATTGGTAAATAACGCGCTTACTCTTGGCACCAACCATATTGATAAGTACTGCGCTTACTCTTAGTACATATCTTGACAAAAACAGATAATGAGGAGAACATCTCTTTAAAGGGACTGACCAAGGGGTAGATGAAGCCGTAGGGGAGGCCCTGTGGGTTGAACTGCAATCTGAAGCCGAAGGTGTTGTTGTCGAGCTGGCTCATGTTGGCGCTGGCAGCGCTGTCGTAGATGGCCGACGTGGGCAGGAAGTGCGGGTTCACTCCAAACGGCTCCGTGGACGTGCCGTTGCTGCACCACCCCGCCAGGTGCAGCAGGCTGGGGGGAGAGAGGAGGGAGGGGAGAGGGCAGGGACGTGTGGGGGGTTTTGGGGGAGAGAAGGGCGGGTGCAGCTGTGAGCAAGGGAGGGAGTGAAGTGCACGTGTTGAGATAAGGGCAATCGGTGGCGATGTCACAGCGACTGGATCTGACATGGCGACAGGATCCGGTAAACATCGTGAAACCCTTGCACGCCACAGTAGGCATGAGCAGCAGTCATAGCACGATTGCGCGGCTCGTTGGTCCGGCCCCATCGAGCCGCGGCTCCCCGTGTTTGCTCCTTGGCTCCTTGGCTCGTGGGAGCTGGTCCAACGAGTGGCAGCTGGCTCGGCTCCCACCCTTGCTCATGCCTGTATGCCCCTTCTCAAGAGCCACTCACCCCGGCTCGCTGCACTGCTGCGTGACCCACCGCTCCTGCTGCAACACCATGCCGATCAGCACACTGGCACGGAGAAGAAGGGAGAGGGGATGGGGAGGAGTGGGATAAGGAAGAGGAGAGTGTGAAGCTGAGTGTGGTGGTCAGCCAAGGCTCTGGTGGATATATGCTGTGCTGCTGCGAGGATGGGATGAAAGGAAGCATCAGGAGGTGGTGGAGAGGCATGGCGCTGCACAAAACAAGTGTGTTGCCCAACAGGGCGGCCAACAGGGCGGCCAACAGGGCAGGCAGGGAGGCAGGGGGTGGCGTACCGGTTGCGGCGAGACACGTAGCGTGTGGCCGCAAAGCCCCTCTCAGCAGCAAAGACGTAGTTGCTCTCGGTGTAGTTGGGGCCGTAGCGCTGCAGTGAGAAGGGGAAGTTGAGATTGGCTCCCACCGCCGTGGATAGACAGCACGCTGGAGGAGAGGGGAGGAGAAAGGCGAGGAACAGAGAGGAGGAAGGAGATGAGGAGAAAGGGGAGGGAGATGAGGAAGAGAGAGCAGGGACGGGAGGGCAATGGGTTCATCTAAAGCAAGTGCATGCCAGGAAGCAAGTAAGCGTGAAGTGAGAATAGGAGAGAAGAGAAGGATGGTGGTGCAAGGCAGCCGAGAAGGATGGTGGTGCAAGGCAGCCGAGAAGGATGGTGGTGCAAGGCAGGAGGCGAAAGGGTCGAGAGGAGTGGGGAGAGGGGTGACTGACAGCCGTCGTCGCGGCGGGTGTGGCCGGGCGGGCAGGGGCAGATGCCGGGGCCAAAGAGCGGGTCGACACACGCGCAGTCGCCACCGTCAAAGGCGCACGCGGGCGTGTTGCACGCCGCATCGCACACCCCGTTCGCCAGCCGCCGCAGCCGACACCTCGGCGAGCACTCGTAGGTTGCCGCGGTGTTGGTGTTGGTGGGGCGAGCGGTCGTGCTGTTGGAAGCAGTGGGGTTTGTGGCGTTGGTGACGATTGTGGTGGTATTCACAAAACCTGCATTTTTTCGTGAAACGAAAGCCGGGGGAAGGGACAGGAGATGTGGAGAGGAGGGGTTGGAGAATGACGGAAAGAGGGGGACGAGCTGTGAAGGAGGAGAGAGGATGGGGAGGATGGATGCAGGAAGGTGTACTAGGATGCTTCCAACTGGGAACGTTGGGAAGAGAACGCACGGAGGGCGAGTGAATGCAACTGAAAGGGAGCGCGCATGGGACAGCTGAAAGGCACACGTGCAGTGCTGTGCTCACCAGCAGTAGCATCCGCCCCAGTCCTTGCAGGCAGCACTGTGAGAATGCTACTGGCCATGGAGGTGAGGGTGGTGGAGGAGGAAGGAGAGGCGGAGGAGGATTGGGAGTCCCCAACCGTGCCTGGCACAGTGCCGTCCTCATAGTGAATGGTGATTGGCTGGGCAAACACCTTGCTGTACGCAAAGGTGCCCGCAGGCTCGTCGTCCATTTCTGGTGGGGGAAGGGGGTGCGAGGTGGGGGAGAGAGGGGATAATGGGAGGAGTGATAAGGTACAAGGGTGATACATCAGCAGCAACAAGCACGGCACCGGGTCACCTCTCACTTACCATGGCCACGGGACTCACTCAGCAAGCACGGCACGGGATCATCGCGCATGTCGCCAGCGCCCACGCTCACGGGAGTGCACGCCATCTGCCGTGACACGGCCAGCCAGGCGGTATCGTTGCTCACTTACCATGGCACTTGCACTTGCACTCACTCAGCACACACGGCACGGGATCGTCACGCATGTCCCCAGCGCCCACGTTCATGGGAGTGCACGCCATCTGCCGTGACACGGCCAGGCGGTTCCCTCCGAAGCCCAGGAACAACGGGTCGCCTGCCTCTCCCATCCCAGACACTGGTGTGGTGGCAGTGATGGTCGTGGGAAAGGGATGGTGGAGGCACAGAGGTGGTGGGGCATGAGCCAGTGCACACCATTGGGAAGGTACCACGGGGCACAAAGAGTTGTCACAGGAACAAACCAGAAACACTCGTTTTCTCTACGAAGCAATATAGGCGCGGATGCACACACGAGGTAGTGGCGCGAATGGGATGCACACACGAGGTAGTGGCGCGAATGGGTTGTGGTAGAGCTTTGGAGGCAAAGATGTACCTCTGATGGAGTGAGGGAGGTCGTCATCCCACACCCACGTGACCTTGTCGCCCACATGGATGGTCGTGTTGTGCGACATGCCTGCCCGCCACTGCAGCCACGCCCCGCCTGCTAGGAGACAGAAAAGATTAAAGATGTGCCTAGAGTCAAACATGATCCATCCATGGTGCCACAAATGACAGCAACATTCAGACATGCACATAGAAACGCATGCACGCACGCACGCACACGCACACATACATGCACAAGTGCGCATGCAAACACACCAACCACCAGGACCACCGAGCATGAGCACCTTGTGAGCAGCCGACAGAGTCGGAGGTGACAACAGCATCGTCGAAGGCGTGCAAGACCGTGTTGAGGCGCGCAGCGGCCTCGTCTGGGATAGCCGTCACGGAGCGCAGCGCCGCCACCATGGTCTGCACGAAGCGCCGCATGTGCTGCGCTGAGATCACGCGCCCACCGCTCACATGCGTGCGGAGCAGGTATGCGTGCATCTCACCACCCTCCACCACCTGCTGCCCTCTTTCATCCGTGAACCGGCACTCTTCCAGCGTTGTCACAGGGCCCCCCAGCATGGTGCACAGGCACGCCACAATGCGCCACCGCACGCTGCCTAACCCTCTCTTTGTGTGGTTGCTCGCTCCCGCTACTAGCCTTGCCTCTGCTCCCGGCGCGCGGCCGGCCAGGCAGCGGTCCTTGGCCATGGTGAAGAGTGCACGCGACACCGCCACCTGCAGCGCTGTCAGTCGCTGGCGGTCCGTGGCGCCCAGGAGCGACCACAGAGAGGGCTGTGCGGGGTCTGGTGTGGCCGCCGTTCCCGCTGCTGCCATGGCTGCTGCTGCTGCTGCTGCTGCTGCTGTTAGAGATGATGCTGGTGTTTGTGGTGGCAGGGCTGCAACTGCTGCTCCTGATGCGCCTTGCACTGGCGGTGTCGCAGGAGCGGCATCAGCAGAGGCAGCAGAAGAAGCCAAAGAGGCAAACGCAGGAGGGGCGTCAGCGGGCAAGGCCCAGGACGTCCAATCGCTGTAGCTTTGCGGGTGTAGGCGGCGGTGCGGGTGCAGGAGGCGGCGTTGTGCCTGAGTCTGAGAAACGATGGGCAATCAATAGTAGGTTATGGTTCAGCGGGGACAGCATGATAATGTGGGATTTGCAAGAAGTGCACACACGAACAAAGGGCGAACAGAAACGTGAAGGGAACATGAGAAAAGGCGGAGAAGGAAAGCCACAAGGAGCCGCAAGCAAAGGGCGAGGGTCAAGAGAAAGGGATGAACAAGCAAAGGGTGAGAGGCAAGCAAAGGTGAGCAGCAAGCGATGGTGAGCAGCAAGCTATGGGGATGGGAGCACCTTTCGGCGGGCAAAACGAGAGAGGTGTCCCGTGGAGTTGATTGCTGGTTAGGAGGGGGGGTTGTGGCGTGAGAGAAGATGATGGCAGAGAGAGGTGAGTCAAAAAAGAACATCACAGCATGCGCTAAGTGTGTGTGAGTCGAATGCACACACATGCTACACGAGAAGTTACTCAAGACAACTCTAAGAAACATTGCAGGAAGGGGGAGGGACGATACCTGAAACGTTGCAGGGGACGTTGGAGAAGAGGGATGCAATCTCAGGCTGCAGGCAATGGGGGGTAAAGGAGGGCGGGGACGAGTGAGAAAGAGAAGTGTCGTGGAAATAGAGGAGGCGCTGGCGGTGCTAGGGGGAGGGAGGGACGATATCTGAAACGTTGCAAGAAGGTTTGCTCTATACAAGCATCAGAGTCACAGGTGCACGCAAGGGGAGCACCATGGGGCAAGGGGCGCATCATGGGGCAAGGGAGCGAACCATGGGGCAGGGAGTGTCGGCGTAGGAGGTGACGGAGGAGGGTGCAACGATGCACATGCGCGCACAGTCCACGAACGCCCCTGCCACCTCCCTCTCCGTGAATGGCCGCCCACAGGTTGCTGGCAGGCAGAGCACTAGCCTTGCACATGTCTGCATGCAGTGACGCATAAATGCATGCACATGCATGCACGCACACACGCACTCGCATGCGCACATACATACACACATACAGACACACGACGCAAGCACGCGCACACGCACGTACGCACGCACGCACTTGTGCGTGCATGCGCGCGCACACACACACACACACGCACGCACGCACGCACGCACGCACGCACGCACGAACACACGCATGCACACGAGTGGATTGGCACATGTGATTGAAAGCATGCACACACTCAGCAAGGAATGACACACGGTGGAAAGTTGAGTGGTTCCACAGCACGCCACCCAGGTGCCATCCCCAACCTTAGTGAGCACCCTGTTCCTAGCGACGGTAGCGTGACGGACAGCATGGGGCACGGCACGCAGAGCAACAACGTACTCACATCACGACAGACATCAGGCGGAGAACCACCAGCGCCGCCACTTGGCAGCGCCTGATTGGCTGCATCCACGTCATCGTCGTGCTCGCAGTAGCCCCAGGCGGCGAGCTCAAGAGTCGTG